TATTACATAGTATATATATATAGTATATATATATACAAATTATTTTTATAATAAAACAATTTATATATAAATCAAGGGGTACTGATTACAGTATATCTAATTATATAAATTGTGTAACATTTAATATGATTTGGTGACCTAAATTGATTTGTTTATTACATTTTGAGTGACCTAAAAAAAGGCCCAATTCCACAAATTAGCCCATATGAATTATGGTAATTTTAGCTCGTGATTTTGTGAAATTATTAGACACGAAAATAATTTCGTATTAAAAATTGCAACCAATGCTGCAATGTTTCAGTCTAAACCGAAACTTTCGGCCAGACGGGACATCCGAAGCTTCCTAACCTGGTTTCACCGGAAATCCGAACTTCCGAAACGTGGTGATAATTTAAACCTGGCGAAAGGTTCGAAACTAATAACCACCAAAAATTGGTTAATTAAATCTACTCAATCGTTGTTATAATTGAATGAGATGACAATAAAAACGACACAAAAATGGTTTATACTCAGTAATAACGATCTTATGACAATTGCATTAGTAAATAATGAAGCAATCGTGATAGACATTAGAATATTGAGCGCTCCTTAACACCAAACAAATAATTCGCGTAATATTAGTGTATTGGCAGAATTTTAGCATGCTGTTCTGATTCCTTATAAAAAAAATGTTTGTACTAAATTGTTCGGAATGGAATCGATTCTCCGAACAGGATTATTATTATACGGTTTTCATACGATGTTTGTACGGGACGTAAAAATAGAGAATTTATGATTATCGTACAAAAAACGTATAATGTCCAATAAACACCTGTAAATGTTCTGAACGGAATCGATGTTCCAAACAAAAAATTGGATAATTTAAGAATGGTTCCAAGATATATATATTTTTATAGTTTTTACAATTAAAATTTTATTTAAATTGGCATGAATTTTTGGCATTAATAATTGTGTGTATGAACTAGCATATATGCTTAAAATTTCACATTAGCACACCCAAACCCTGGCATTCCTAAACATTCTTAACCAAGGTCCAACTTCACCCCACTTTTTACCCTCTTCAACAGGATACCACGAATTCGCCTCCTTAAGGATTACACGTTCAGGATGTGGCATCATACCCAGCACTCTTCCATTTGGTGTCTGAATGCCTGTAATTCCCAATGGACTTCCATTTGGATTATATGGATACTTTTCAGTTGGGTTTCCGTAATTATCTACAAACCTCACTGCGACAAGGCCTTGAGCTATTAGTTTTTTTAACTGTTCGTTATTAGAAAACTCTGCTCTACCTTCGCCATGTGCAACAGCTATAGGAAATATTGATGAATGCATCCCATTGAAAAATATTGATGGTTTTGAGTTTGTATTACTTGAAGTTATTTCAATTAAACTACACCGAGCTTCAAATTGCTCGCTTTTGTTTCTTTTGAATAAAGGCCAATTTTCTGTACCGGGGATTAATTCTTTTAATTGACTCAAAAATTGACATCCATTACATACGCCCAATGCAAATGTATCTTGCCGATTCTGAAAAAAATCTAAAAATTCTTGTCGGGCTTTGGGGTGCAATAGTATAGATTTGGCCCAACCAGAACCGGCTCCTAATACGTCTCCGTAAGAGAAACCACCACAAGCTGCGATTCCCTTAAAGTCCGAAAGTGTTATATCACCTGAAAGTATATCGGACATATGAACATCGATTGCAGTAAATCCTGCAAGATAAAATGCAAAAGCCATTTCCGTATGGCCATTCACTCCTTGTTCACGAAGAATAGCTACTTTTGGTCGTGTCGTTGGTGATTTTAGTAAAGGCAAAGATACATCATCAGCAGGATCAAATGTCAATTTATAATGTAATCCAGGATTGTCCATATCTAAGATACTATCAAATTCTTCTTTGGCACATGTACTATTATCACGCAATGATTGTATATGATAAGAAGTCTCAGACCACATACGTTGCAACTCAATGCGAGAAATACTAAACAATATTGAATCGCCCGTCATTATGAAAATATCTTGGTGATCACATGTTATCTCGCCAATATGATGAATATCGTTGCGAGGAAATCCTTCATCAGTAAATATTTGGACCAATCGTTCAAAGTCTTGTTGTCTAATTTGGATGACTGCACCAAGCTCTTCGTTAAAAAGAACTCTGATAATATCGTTGTTTTGTATGATGTTTGCAAGGTTCACATTAACACCTACATGTCCAGCAAATGACATCTCAGC